AAAACGCAGGATATGATCCTTTTCTAAATGGAGCCCATACAATCTGTTCCCTGAACTCTAGAATACCGTTTATGCCGCTACCCAAGTTTTGTTGTCTCCCAAAAATCACACTGGTTTTACTTTGGGATGTCGGCAACCCAAAGCCCTCCCTGATCTATGACAATCTAGTCTTAATTAACAATTACAATTCTTCACAAAAGATCGACTAGAATGGAAAAATGTCGAATAACATTACTCGGACAGCCTACTTTACCGTATGGCAGGACACCACTTTTTGGTGATTCCATTGATTGAATAAAACAGAAAACTCTGTGCATGCTGCATTTCACTAAAGTCTTTAGTACTTGCCTTGCAGAAGACATAAACCTCAACCTCCACCACCATCAAATATTTGGAGAAAGCTATTATAGAAACTCTGAAAGGCACATCCAAAAAAGATATTTTAGAGACAACATCTCTATTATCCGCATCCAGCTCTACTAACACGTTGCTCGGTATGCTGCTAGCACTTTCCCAATACCAGGCACAAAGCATGTTCAAACAATTTGGTGTTTTTAGCAATATGATTATACGAGGCTAAAAGTAGCAAGTAATTGATGGGTTCAGTTGGTGAAAATTACAAGGTACATTCACAACAAATCTTTCTACATACTCAAGCTTGCAGGTACTTGTAAAGCAGAGCTAAAAAAAAATACAGCCGTCTCCTCAGGATAGTAGACCAGCCTATGTTGTTGATTTATTCAAGTTGATGACAAAGAGAACCTAAACCATCATAAGCTGAATGATTATCTGCCGACTGGACAAGGCCACATGAATGTTTTTGAAGGGGAAAAAAAAAAAAAAGAAGAAGTGACTCGTTCATTATGCATAACCCAAATAATAATCAGCGGATTGGGAGTTAGTTTCTTACGCAGGATAAATCTAAGCCAAAGCAATCTTGATTACACATTAGGAACAATTTGAATAGCTCTTGATTGTCACTCCCAGGAAAGAAAGGACAGCGGGGTTTCTAAGCATGCAAACACAGTAAGGAACTTGCTGCAATTTGTTTTAAAATTATTTTTAAACTCTCTTAAACCAGCCATGCACAGCAATATTTTATTTGTTCAAGCTTAAGAGCATTGAATGAGGAATCTTCCGATGTCTTCATTGTATTCTAACAGCGGCTCCCAGTCACTGTCAAAACACCCGATCAGAGCCAGCAGCTCATTGGCCGATGGCTCTGTGTGAAGATTTTCCAAGCGGCTTCTTCGATCAGTTTATCAACAACCGGCTGAAAATCGCATAGTGTGTGGCCAGCTTTACTTGTCGAAAAAGGCCCTAAATAGTCACCTTTACTGTGCCCGTCCACTAAACTCTCCTAAAACTGCTCCCTCTAGATCAGCTGAGAAACAGACTTCCAGCAGTGGCAATCACCATGGTCTCCCACAGCTCTCTCTGGTTCCAGTGATAACAATTTAGTGGCGCGGGCATCAGGAAAGATATTTACTGCCTTTTGCAGGAGAGAGGGCTCATTTTATTAAATGCAAAAAGTATCAGTGTTTATCCTGCTGATCACTGCAAATTTCTCTAAATGTGCAGCTACTAGAGGACCTAATAGTGTTAGGTTTCTTTTTTGTTAAAGTGACACTAAAAACTTAGGAGTTAAATCTTAAAAATTACATTCAAGTATCTTAACTATTAGCAAAATGTATCTTATTTGTGTATCACTCGGCTGTAGATCCTCAAATCATCTTTTAATTGCTGCCGACACTGTCCTTTCTGGAGGGTGGCTACTTTTGTTCCCCATGGTCACTGTGTGTGTTGTAAAGTAGCCACCGCTCAAGGAAGCTGCCGTGATGGACTACAAGCTCAATACAAATTAGTGAGCTAAACATGAGATTGTAGTCCATCCCGGAAGTGATATTGGAGCGGTGACTACTTTACCACACACACAGGGACCATGGGGAACAAAAGTAGCCACCCTCCAGAAGGAAGGACAGTGTCAGCACCAATTCAGAGATGATTTGAGGATCTACAGCCGAGTGATACACAAATAAGATACATTTTTGCCAATAGTAAAAGTACTCAATGATGTCATTCCTTAGTTTAGTGTTGCTTTAATAGCTGAATAGTGAAAAGGGCTTTGGAACTCAATTGGTTAACGTGAACCTTTGCTCAAAGTTGACGTAAACTTATTTTAACAGACTTGCTGGATGAATAAACGATAATAGAAGGACTGACATTTGCTGGCTTCATGTGTCTAGTCTCATGAGCTCTGCTGAAGGCAAAGACCAGCTAATCTGAACTGCAATACTACATTTATGATATACTACGGAGTAGAGGCTGTTCACACTGCAAAGTGTATGTTCACGAAGCTTAATAGTAAAGTAACGTTGTGTTCACTTTCTCTACTCAGTCATGTGCAAAAGAAATAAAAAAAAAAATAGGTCTTTTTGCTTGCATGTGATTGGATGAAGTGAACAGAGCTGCACCTTGTTCACTAAGCTAAGCGAACATTCACCAAGGAAAAGCGAACAGTGAATAGGACTGATTCCTTTAGTAAATCGACCTCTGTGTGTCAAAGTACGTCACCCTTCAGATATGTGGCCATTAAGGAAACCAAAAGAAACCGCTAACACATGGAGATGATAATCTTGCATCTTAAAAGCCTAAACATAGACAAAGACATAGCTGAGTGCTTAAAACTGCAGGTAAAAGCCAAAAAATAAAGCCTTTTAAATGCTTACTTGCAGCATTTTTCCTTTCCATAAATGATTGCTTTATTTACTTGCAAAGTGTTTTTCAACTTGCTAGCACATTTGGCTTTTTCAGGAAGAGTCAATTCCCTGGCACAGCCTCTTGTACATCACAGCCCTCTCCTCTCCTAAAAGAGTGGTAAATAATGTGCTGGCCCAGCTCCTACACCCCTCCCTAGATAACCTTTTATGTAGCTGCAGGGGGAGGAGCAAAGGGAAATGCTATAGTGTCATGTGAGTGACAGGTGAGTCAAGATGTCGGGCCCCCCGCTGCAGCCTTGGGGCTTCTGGATGTCCATACAAGGGAGACTTTTACTGGTAAATAGCATGTATAAAATAAGTTAAAGTGATATTAAAGTCTGAAAGTTTTTTTAAGCCATTTCAAATGGCAAGAAATTCTTTGCTGGGCAATTTATATTTGTTTGATCTGGATTCATTACTGAAAAACGTATGAGAGTTTAATACTACTTTAAGAGGAGGGAACTGAGGGCAGGAAGACCCAAAAATATTTCTGACCTAAAAGTGTCTTACAAGGAAAAGTGTAAAACAACTCCCGATACAACGACAAGCAAGTTAGTAGACTAGGGATGCACCGATACCGGTATTTCGGAATCGAGTACCAATATTTCTTTTTTCAGTACTCACCGATACCGAAAGTCCCATTCAGGAAGCCAGGCAGCGTGTAAGGACTCGCCACCCGGCTTCCCGATTAGCCGGGAAGCCGGCTCCATGCTCACTCGTCATGAGGTGACGAGGGAGCATGAAGCAGGTTTCCGACCAATCAGAAAGCCGGGCAACGCATCATTACACACAGCCTGGCTTCCTGATTGGCCGAGAAGCGGGCTCCAAGCTCTCTCGTCACAAGTGACGAGAGCATGGAGCAGGCTTCCCGGCCAATCAGGAAGCTGGGCAGCATGTAACAACGTGCTGCCCGGCTTCCTGATACCGGAAGTATCGGGCTAAGCATCGGAGCATTTGGGCGAGTACGAGTACCTCGCCCAAATACTCGGCATCGGCACCGATACTAGTATCAGTGCATCCCTAGCTGCAGCTAACGATTATTTTCATAATCAATTGCCCGATTATTTTTTCAACTAATCGATTGGTTGCATCAAAAAAACTCTCTCATAATGAGAATAATTGCCAACTATTCTCACAATCTATTATCTATCGAGTTAATAGATTATTATTGATTTAAATCGATTAGTTGTTGCAGCCCTATAGTAGACTAGAAAAAAAAGTTGAGGGTCTGTAATTTCTGCCAAAGGATGTGTAACCAAGTTCAGACTGACAGGGAGCCTAAACTTCTGCACATGCCATCTTTATGCCCTCCTTACCCCCATTGGTTAAACTAATAAACTCTCTTAAACTGACAAACACATTAAAGCTTGTTTGTAGAAAAATTAATCAAGAGGCACCCAATTTTCAAATAGGACTGCATACATACAAGGTGGATGTACAGAGTAAATCTTCTCTCAAGTCCTCATTAGGATCCTTCGATCTAAAACTTACTATAGCTACAAAAGCACCGCTGGTATGTTATTCTCCTGACCTTCATTGTATCAATAGGTGATTAGTGTTTAACAGGATATATATTCTAGGCTCCTAAGACACTCAAAACCTTTATTTTTATGCCTACTATTGTGCTGTTCTATTTTATCTTAGAAAACACTGCACAAACCCTAACCGTGAGTCAATGTTCTACAGTATTTTAAAGCTAAACAGTATGTACAGCGATAAATACCAACAATTATATGTTGCTCCAATTTGCCTCTTGGACACAAAAAGTGCTGTAGGTGTAAGGCAACCCAAACATTAAGCAGATTAAGCACCCACAAACTGTCAAGGTGCTTGCCTTTTGGGCATCACTTGTGTTAGGGCTGTTCAAATCCTTGGTGCTAGGTAACCACTGCAAATGAAAAAGATAAAATGGAGCCTAGTCTGCCGCCATGGACAGCAGAAGCTGCTAGATTAGATTGCCTGGCTCCTGAATATTGCATAACTTTGCTAATTCAAATCACCCAAAGCAGTTCTCCTGATATCTAGATTCATACTGTGCTCATTGATAGAAAATTACACATCAAAAAAAACTGACCTCGGCCAACTTGAAGTCTTGGTTCATTAAGTAAACTGAAGCGAGTTAAAAGAACTGTTTTAAAATGATTGCTCTAAGTCAAAAGTTCCACAGAAAAGTTAAAAGAAAAAAAAGTGTGTTTTAATAAGGCATAGCTAGACCTTTAAATGGAACAGGAAATTTGGCTGTATGCTCCCCAATGGTTTAACACCGCTCAAAATGGCCGCATGTTGAAGAAGCCAACGCTAGTGGGGGACTCCTTTACAGTTACTGTGATAAGGTTGGCAGTGACATCTGTCACAAATACATGCTCAAGCAGGCTGCGGGTTGGTTTCCAATCCTGACCAGCTTGGACAGACATATCCTGGCTGGATAGGGATGAATCATGATCGGAGTCCAAGCTGCTGTCATCTCCAGTACTCAACTCTGCCAGCTCTCTGTGGGCTTCTGCCTGCTGCCCTTTATCTGAAGTTGTGCGTGCGACATCCCTTGTGGGTCCTGAGAGCGCGGATCTCACGGGCCCTACACCTCCCACTTTTCTGCCACCTTTATCAGCTTTGCTGCCAGCAGTCCCGGCAAGGGTGGGAGGAAGGTTATTTTTCGGAGGAGTATGTACAGAGGAGTTACTTCCAAATGTCCCCATGCCTTGTGCACTGTGAATTTTATTCTGGACAGTTGGGATGTTTTCTCTGTTGGGTGTTTCTCCAGGTAACACAGGCTGGCTTATTTGAGATTCTGTTTGTTCTTCGGAGTCATGAAGCTTCACAGTTTTAACTGAAGTCGGTCCAACATCCACCTGTGTTTTCGAGATGCTTTTTGTATCTGATGCCTGACTGATGCGCTTTGAAGTAAAAGCTGAATTGACTGGCCTCTTACCTGGCTGAGAGCTGTTCTGTGTTATTCGGTTCATATAATGGACAATAGAGCTTTGCCAGCTAAGGTTACGGGGCGAGCTACCATTAGGATGGTGAGGGGAGTTTTTTGCTAAATTTGCAAGTACCTCTGAAGACAGACCACCTTGATGGCTGTTACTCGACACAGGTACATCTTTAGTGTGTGATTTAAGAGCAGAGAACCCTGGTAATCTATTCCCCGACTGGACCTTTTCTGCTCCACTTTTAGGTCCAGGTTTGGCTCCCTTCGTCCGTCTAGGGACCTTTTGTTCGGGGGGTAGTGGTTTCCTTCCTCTCTTCTTACGCAATTGTTCCTTTAACTCTGGCCTCACTACCACTGCTTGGGCCTTCTTCTGTGGTACTGGGTGGGAATCCCGAGGTCTGGCGTTTTGCTGTGTTTCAGCATCACTGTCCTCAGACGAGGAAGATGAGGAGGAGGAAGAGGATGACGAAGATGATGAAGAGGAGGAAGAGCTGCTTGATTTGGCTTTTGGTGGAACTTCAGCCTCCTTTGAAGATGAAAAAATTAGAAGCCTCAATCAGTAAATTGCAAATATCACATGAATAGGGTATAAATCTGCATTACTGTTATGAGTAACACTGCAGGTGTCGGCTGCAGTGGTCTGTGTCCCTGCCGATACAGCGGGGATTAAAAGAGACACAGACCTCTGCAGCCAGCACCAGCAGGGAGGAGAACAGAGGAGCAGAGTGGCAGCAGCTGCAGAATCAACTAATCGATTTAATTGATTAGTTGTTGCAGCCCTAAACTGCAGAGAGCTTATCGTAATCAATCAGCAGGATAGAAAGTACATACCACAAATTGCTCATAGATAAATACTAGCTATGCACAGAAACAAGGTTTTACTACATCATTATATGAAACTGACAGAACTGATAACCTAAAAAATGTTTAGTGATTTGTGTTGATTTTATCTTTTATTATGTTCAGACCCACAAAATGTATTTGTTTTAGTCAAAAATAATATCAAATGGTGCATATGAATGTTACACCCACACATTGTCAGTCAGCTGATGGAGAGCTAGGCACCTTTTCTCATTATTTACCAGCCAAATCTTAACTGCAGCTGCATGCTGATGTGATTTTTAGTGAAGGGGGGTAAAGGTCCAATTTAAACTCTGTTCACAATTCCCAGCTAAACAATCTGAGTAATGACTTAAACAGTAAGGTGACCACTGGTCTCAATGAAACAGTCCTTTTTAATTTTGGATAGAGTGGAGAATGAGAAGGATGACCAATGAAACATCTTCAAGAAAAATAAAAGTCCAGTTGCCTTCACTTATTTTGTTACAGATATACCATGACCTGAATGAATAAGAACCTTCACAGACAAGAAGGCTGATTGTTTCTTAGGTCTCGTTCACACCTAGGCGTATTGCATATGCGCGACCGTCGCGCGGTAAAAAAGTTGCGCGTTTCCGAAGGCTACTTGGCTGTATCCCAATGGAAACGCCCTACAAAACGGCCCAAAGTAGTACCTGGACCTTTTCAGGCGTGGGCCGTTTTGTAGGGCGTTAGGGACGGGCGGAAATACGGCAAGGTGGGAACGAGACCATTGACTACAATGCAATTTATTTTTTTGACCGTTTTGTAGAGCTTCGTCGAGCGTAGAACGCGCTACAAAACGGTCAGGTGTGAACGAGGGCTAAGGATTTCTTTTTTTTTTGGACACCCGAGCAAAAAAACTCACCACATTTTTACGTGGTCTTCCTCGTGGCCGTTTTCCTCTCTTTCTGTTCCGCAGTTCTTTCTCTTGTTCTCTGATGGCAGAAGAATTAATAATCATAAAGCACCTAGAACCCAAAACTATTGCTCACAACAGGAGGCGGCTATTTTGAGTCAAACAATTCAAAAACAGTCCATAAATTCACAACACAAGCTTACAACACACATGGGGGGAATTTATCAAAAGTGGAGCAGCTGTGCATGAGAACCAATCAGATTCTCGCTTCAGTTTGTTCAGTTAAGATTTTAAAATGAAAGAGAAGCTGATTGGTTGCCATGCACAGCTGCTCCAGATTTTGTCTGCTCCACTTTTGATAAGCTTCCCTCATGGTTTCCACAATCTCATAAACCACATATCAGTTTTTTTCTCTTTAACTAGGCATACCTCTTGCAGATCTTAACACAAATAGTAAAAATCCTTCTGCAGTTCACAAGGTATAACTGATGAATCGTTAATATGTAAACCAATGTTGGTAGATGCAACCCTTTTCTTATACTAAAGAGTAGGGATGTTCAGACACCAGTGCCGATACTAAAGTACTTTCACGAGAACTACTGGGGTCACACCAGTTGCAGAAAAACGGTCACATGACAACAAAAGCGTATCAGTAATTGTATCTGAGAGTACTTGGACGAGTACCTGGTGCAACACACACACTCTGGAGCAGATGCCCATGTTAATCAATCAGCTTCCCTCTTCAGTTAAGCTTTGAAAATGAAAGGTGGATGCTGATTGGTTCCCATGCACAGCTGCTGCAGATTTTGATAAATTCTGCTCAGTATGTATAATATATATA